TTGCTGAGTACATAAATACAGTATACCCTTGGAGGACAGATAGACTCTCTTTAAACAGCCGTAGCAAAAGTGAGACACAGTTTTGGGAGAACCCAAAAGATAGTGAGTGCCTCCAGCCGGGGAGAGCCAAAAAGACTTCTTCTTGGGCTGGGCCTGCCATCTTGCCTTGAAGGGCCTGAAAGCGGGGGGTGGGGCATTTATGGGGAGAAAGGAGGGGTAAAGGCATGTACAGGGGACAAAGGGTTAGTCTGAGCAGGAGAGGTGGGAAATAAGGACAGTTGGACCCGGATCACAGTGCCTTTGGTGCCAGGCTAAGTGGTTACTGCTCTAGGCAGTGGGAACTGTTGAAGGTTTTACCGAGGAAGCAATGTGATCTTGCAGCAACATGTCAAGTGAAACTTGTCAGGCCAGGACGCAGAGGATCATGGCTCTGCAACTTGGAGGTGTCTTTCAAAAGAGTTTCCTCAGAGCATGGATGGCAAGACTTGGTTCTGAAGGACAGTTCCCCACCTTTTCTCTTGAGGGGGACCATGGCGGCCAGCTAGGATTCTGGCCTCTCTTGCTCTGCCCCACCAGCTCTGGACTCACTCTGGCTGCTTCTCAGAACCTGCCTCTGCCACACAGATCAAGCTTGGCTTGTTTCCCATTATGCTCTGAGATCTGTGTATCCACAGTGGCACCCGGCCCCCACTTTGGTTTTGACTTTTTTTGTTCCTCTTTTAGAGATGAGAGCTAGAACAGTATTTCTGCTCTCCTGTAATGCTGAGATAGGGCAGACCAAGAGATTTCTATGATGTTGTCGAGAGACCATAAAGACTTGATTGAAGGTGTGTTAGTTGGGATGGGAAAAGGAGATGGACTCAGGAAATACTGTGGCAATAGAAGGGACAAGATCTGATGATTGAAACTGGGAGCAAGGGAAAAGGAATCAAATACTGAGTTTTTGAGACTGTGTGAATTCAAATGGGTTTAAAAAGGCAGAAGCTATTTTTCTTACTTTTACAGAGTTGAACTGAAGCTCAATGTCGTGGACAGAGCTGTCAAAGAGGCTTCTTTTAGCTTTAGTGATGTTACCAAGTCCAAACTCGTTCTGCTCGCCACACAACAGGGAAATAAATCGGAAGACGAGGTGTTGGGGCAAGGAATAGCGACTTTATTCGGAAAGTCGGCGCACCCAGAAGATGGCAGGCTAATGTCTTGGAGAACCATCCTACCCAAGTCAGAATATAGGCTCCTTTTATACTAAAAAGGGGAGGGGTTGTGGTGGTTTGTTGAAAACTTCGTGCTGTAGGAATTCTTTGTTCTAGCAGCTGTCCACCTGGGTCAGGTCATGGTGCCCCTGTCAAACCTCTAACCAAAAAAAAAAGTTATTTTCTATTCTGCAGCTTGTCTTATCTTCATGAAGGCACAGAAGTGCTAACATCCTTAAAGGTCAGAGCCTTGAGAACAGGCTCTCCTGTCTATTTCAGGCTAAAGGCAACATTGTTTTACAAAAGGTGTGGAGCTGGCAAGACTGAGCCTAGAAAACAGGGCACAGGGTTGAAGCCAAAGAAACAGATCTAATATGGAGTCAGATTTGTTCTTTTCTGTTACAGTGATGATTACCCTGAAGGGTGTCAAGAGCAGCCTGGTCAAGTAAATTGTACCAACACAATGTCCAGCACGGGCTGCAATATACTGAGTAAGATTTAGAAGAATTAAGCCTGTGCCAAAAATGCTGGTATGTGAAAATGTGGAAGAAGCCCTTCCACTGGTTCTAGTCTTCACATTATTGAGTAACTTCCTCTCAGTGAAAGACCTGGCACTGTATTTTACAAACAATTTAGGAAATGGATGGAATATGATGCAAAACTGAAGGGATGGTGAGGAGGGCAATTCACTGCTCAAGAACCTTGAAAGCTGTGGAAACAAGCTGATTTAAGCTGAAGTTATTTTATGTGGTGCCTGTGGGCTGGTCCACTTATTTAAATGCTTTCACTGTGGAACATTAAATAATATCAGTAACAGTCAACATTTATTGAATTACGAAAGTGCCTGACACTGCTCTAGGCACTTTTCAACCTGCAGAGTATCTCAGTGATTCGTATTTTTGCCAGTTGTATTCCATTATAGGTTATTACAAGATAATGGGTATAATTCCCTGCGCTATACAGTGTATCCTTGTTGCTTATCTGTTTCATACATAGTAGTTTGTTTCTGTTAATCCCATACTCCTTGTTGGTCCCTCTTCCCTTCCCTCTCTCCTTTGTAACCACAAGTTTGTTTTCTGTCTCTGTGAGTCTGTTTCTAGTTTGCATACATTCATTTGTATTTTTTTTAAGATTTCACATATAAGTGATATCATAGAGTATTTGTCTTTCTCTGCCTGACTTATTTCACTAAGCATAATGTTCTCTAGGTCCATCCACGTTGCTGAAAATGGCAGTATTTCATTCTATTTTATGGCTGTGTGTATAGACACCTTACATATACATATATGTAGATATATACACATATATCGCATCTTAATCCACGAGGCTGCTACTCTTGTCTTCAGTTTATAGAAGGGGAAGTAACTGACAGGGAGTCCCACTACTGGCAAGTATTGCGATGCCTGATGTCCCATGCCTGTCTGACTGCAGAGTCCATCCTCCTAATTACAGTGGTATTTTGCCCAACACCAGCTTTTTTCTCAATGTCAAAATCCCTACACTGGGCACTCCTTTATTTGGGTTTAGATCAACTTAATCTAAAATCTAGGTACATTTTGGGAACTGCTTTAGGTCTCTTCCCCTAGAATTTGTGATGTTGTTGGCTGTTTTATTCACATTTTGAGTCAGTCGTGAATTACCCACAGAAGCTGCAATGTCTTTTTTACAAATGCTCCCTGGTGAATGCCGTGTTGATTGTCCCACACGCAGATACTCAAATCACAGAAGCATCTTCCTCACACGCTGGGAGGGAGCGGAGGCTTGGTGTCATCTCAGGAGGAGCAGGGCGTCCTCGAGGGAGGCTTGGTGATGTGGCAGGAGGTCAGGCTTCACAGCCCCGTAGAGCGTGTCGTAAAATGACATCTGCCTCCTTTTATTTCACTCCAAGTGCTTGCAAGAGTGCAAAAAAAGAGCATCAGAAATTAACAGGCTGCTCTTCTGCTAGACTGAAGAGTGGTTACTTGGACCTAAAGGGTAATTTTGTTCATTGTTTGTGTGTTTCGGTGAGGTGAGACTCATCCTCATTGTGGAAATTGTCAAAGATGTCCCACGCCTATATAAGAAAATTACAGACAAGTATATAGAATTCTATTTCTTACGCAATGCATCAAAGCTAATAAAATAGTAGCCAATTAGACAATTATAAAGCCCGAGTATATTAAAGTATTATGCATTACCGATTAATAGTAATACCAATAAACTCACAGAGCAAGCAAAAGCTTGCCTGATTCAAATTACAGGAGCTCTGCAGAAACTATTGTTAGTGTGTCTCAAAGCACCGTACAAGTAGTAATTATTAAAGCTCACAGATACAACCAGAAAATATCCTTTTATTGAGGGAATAAGCAAGAATTCCCCTTTACCTCCCATGTCTTCTCATGTATTCTGAGACGTAATTGCCTCTATTCTCCAAATAGAAAGAGTCTTCACAGACTGTGGCTGTTCGGGGTAATGAGTCCGTAGGCATAGAATTTTGCAGCTGTGGATTCAAGGCGCTCATATTGAGTATCTTGAGCTATGTGGTTAGAATCCTTTACTTACTTTTTGAAATTGTGCACGCATGATAGCTCTAAACAAATCTTGCTTGTGTGTTATATTTTAACATTTGTCTGTTGACTATAATGTCAAATTTTAATACAAAATTATGCCAAGTTCACATGGGAGTATTTTGAAGTGTTACATCAGGCTTATTTCTGCTTGAAGTAATATCTTATTCCAAGGACTAACAGCTTGTAAGCACAGTCAGTGGGACGCGTATTTATTTCTATACCCTGTACCAAGTCCTTGGAAGGTGGTGAGGATTTCTCATCTGCTTCAGAATGCCCCTTTGCCCTTTCTCCCCATTTCTCCTTCTCCTTTCCTGCCTTTGCAACTTCCCTACTTTCTGAAGTCAAGCACAGAATGGAAAAGCTCAAGAGTATTGCAGTGCCTGGCTTTCGCTCCATCTCGAGTCCTCGGGCTCCCCCGACGTGGTTGATTTCTCAGGCTTATGTTCTCCTGGTGCTGAGAGACCACACTGCAGTTGTCAGTCATGGTTGTGAGGCAGCTGTACTTCCATGGTCCTACTTCACTGTCACACAGATTCTGAGAAAAGTGTAGACTGGTAAGCACCTTCCTTTCCAGTTAGGACACTGGAGCCTGGAGAGGAGTGACACCTGAGGTCATACTGCTGGCTCCCTTCTCAGTCTTGCTAGAGTTGGGACCAGAATTCAGGTCTCTAGACTCTTAAGCTGAAGTTTTTACCTCTACCCCATGGTAATTATATAATGCTTTGAATCACGAAAAATTTTAAACCAGAAACATAGGAGCAGAAATAGAGGAGACAGTCTGTTAACTTTATCCAGGGCTGTGGATCAGCAGGATGAGAGATGGAGCCTTGGGATCTGAAGAAAAACAGAGTGATGTGTACTCAGAGTTGAAACGGTGGACGCTGGGTTAGTGTTGCATTGCTGTGTGGGAGGAGCTGAACGACGAGAGGGAGAGGGTCGTGAAGAGCAAGCTGAAGTGGAGAACAGGGTGAGCTAGAACGGTGGTTGTAGAAGGATTAGGAGGATGGTGGAGCTTATGGCCGTCGCAATGGGTTGCTGAAGTAAAAGGAAGAAGTTGGTCCTTGGGGACCTTGCAGTCGCTCAGGTTGATGCCAGAAGGGGGGATGAGATTGAGCCCTGGTGGCAGGGACCAGAGTTCCCAGGGGATGTGGGCTAATGACAAAGCCAGAGGAAGCAGAGGTGCTGGGGGGACCAGAGGAGTGTTTATAGAGTGCTCATGGAGATATGCGTCTCTTCTGTGACAGCTGTTACATCTTTCAACTCTAATTTTCATATTTTCCAGGGAAAACTGAGGCTGCTATCAGAAACTTCAGTCCCTACTACAGTCGCCAGTTCTCTGTGGCTTTCTGCAATCACGTACGCAGTGAGGTCGAACAGCAAAGAGACTTCACATCACAATTTCTGAAGACCAAGGTAACCCGTGGGCATTTGGTTCCCAGTATTTCTCCCACTGAAGAATGGCTTTCCTTAATATTTCTGAGATAAGCAGTAATTTGAATGGCAGTTTAAAAAATTTGTTCTCAAATCATTTCACACTCAACAACGATTTGCCTGGAAATTAGAACATATGATATTTTTGTTGATGCTATAATCCATATAAAAAGAAAACTAGCATGACTTCAATTTTATTATGTTTTTCCCACATTGATGCTTTTATGTTAGGAAATCTGACTTGCTGTGATGAAGTTCAGTTTTAAAACGTCATCATTTCAGTGCCTCATGCTATGAGCGTTTTTATTTTGGTCACTGATTTGTAATTCTACCTTCTGATCTTGTTAACTCATTCTTTCTCCTTTGCTCCATTATAATAATTAGCCACAACCTCAACAAATAGTTTTTGACATCTACTATGTACCAGGCCCTTTTCCAGGATCTGGAAAACAAGACAAATTCTCTGCTTTCCTATTAATATTCAAATAGGAGACAGACAATAAATAAACAAATGAATATTAGGTGTTATCAGGTAATAATAAAAGCTGCAGAGTGATATAAAGCAGGAGCCTCATTTTAGAGAAGATGGTCAGAGAAGCCTTCTGTGGTGATGACATCTGAGCAGAGACTAGAAAGAAGTAAGAGTGTAGGCTGTGTGCGTATCTGTGGGAAGAGTGTTCCAGGCACGTGGAACAGAATGCAAAGAGCGTGCAGTGCTCAGAAGCCCAGCAGGAAGGTCAGCGTGCTGAGAGCCGTGTGAGCAAAGCAGGAGGGCTAAAAGGTTCTGCAGACTCTGTGGAACCCAAAGAACACAATAAGGGTTTTTATTTTAAGCGTGATGGGGAGTTACTGGAGGGTATTGAATGCAGAATGACTTACAATTTTAAGTGATTGTTCTGGCTTTTCTATAGAGAATAGACTGGAAACTGGTGAGGGAGACACTGTAGCATTCCAAGAGGAGGATGGCAAACTGGAATAGGGTGGTGGTGCTGGCAGCTGTGAGAAGAAGTGCAGGCCAAGATGTATTTAAGACATGGCTGACAGAACGTGCTGACGGGCTGGGTACGAGGCAGTAGAAGAAGAGAGACCCCAGTGATGGCTCGGCTTTAGTCTGAGCAAGTAAGCAAATGCCTTTCCCTTGAAAGACTAGAGGTGGATGGGAGCCGTGTGACATTTCAGATGAGCTGAATGCTCTGCTTTGGAGCTCAGTAGGGAGGCTGAGGCTCGAGAACAGAACTGTGAGAGTTCTTAGTTTGTAATTGGTGTCAAAACCATGAGACATGATGGAGGTAGAGCACAGACAGAGAAAATCAGAGATTTCATCCCCAAGCCCTGGCCCCTCCAATGTTTGGAGATCAGAAAAAGAAAGACCTAGCAAGATGGACTGAAAGAAAAATAGTAGGAGAAAAATCAGGAGAGCGCAGAGTACCAGGAGGCAAAAAAGAAGGGGTTTCAAGGAGAGGGTGACACACGGGCCAAATATTGCTGACAGCTTGAGTCCGCTGACCGACAGATTTAGCAGCATGGATGTGCAGGGGCAACTGACTGCCGTCCCCATGAAACAGTAATGGACAAAATTCAAGCAGCTTGATAAGAACGCAGGTTCTGATCCACACCCCAGAGATTCTGATACAGGAAGTCTAGGGCGCGGCCACATGCTTAAGCGTGTCAGTGGGTTTGAGTGACCTGGGTGTAAGGATTGCTGTGCATAAGAACTACACAGTTCAGCTTAACTGTGGCGTCAGCCTCATCTAAAGAGAAGGATGAGGCCCTCCCTTACCTGTCAATGAGGCCAGATAAGAGACCGCCTCACTATAAGCCTCAGTGTTAGGCCCTGGGATTTGTAAAGGTATTTTATTTCATCCCTAAGCTGACTCTTGGGCAGATCAGCACATCTGTCTTCTCCGTACGGTTCCCGTAAACTTTGCTTGGAAGTGGAGGGGTGGGTTTCTGCAGACACGATGATTTTTGAGTAAAAGGGACATAAATGTAAGTTCAGTGACGCGTGAAAGGCAGGAGCCACGTTCCTATGTTCTGAGATGCTGCGTGAGGCCGGATGCGAATTCCCTCCACACGGTCAGCGCAGCGGAAGCCCCAGCTGGGTATCTGAGGGGCTGCCCTGCGGCGCGTGTGCCACCGGGGTTACTAACGTGAACTCCTCAGGCTTTCAAGCAGAGGACGTAGAAGGGAGGTTTGCTGGCTTGGTCTTTAACCCGAGAGCACACATGGTCTTCTCGAGAAGCACACAGATGGGTAAAGTGTTCACAGCCTGGGTCCCCAGAGCTTCTGGGTCTGGGAAAACGATGGAGCGCTGACTGTTGAGGCTGCCCCTGAAGGCTGACAAATAGGGGAACAGCCGGTTAACTCCCCTGTTTTTCAAGAAGTAGCCCTGAGGCTTAGTCAGGGTGTTGGGATAGGTGTCCTCAACTGCCTCACCCCCTCCCTTCCTCAGAGGTTACCGAGGGTGTATTAAGCGCCACATGCATGCAAGGCATGACCTGGCTACTACAATCCCTTCTACCATGTGCTCCTGTAGCATAACGGAGGGAATGCAAAAACAAAAAAATCAGTAAGACAGATGTTTGCATTTGGCCAGGAGAAGTAGGAGAGGGGAGTGTGGAGGGAGCCAGGGGAAGCAACTATCTCCCTAGGATCTCAAAACAAAATAGTTTCCAAAAGTATTCCTTGAGGAGCCATGAACAGACTTAGCGTGGCATGATACGCTGTCTTCTGTGGTGACAGTTAATGGTATTTCTCTTCTTTTAAGCCACCGTTGGAGCCTGGAACTGTTCTGTATGAAGGAGAGCTAACACAGTTCGCTGAGGACATAAAGAAATGGAAGGAGAGATACGTGGTGGTTAAAAATGACTTTGCTGTGGAAAGCTATGAGAACAAAGAGGTAAGGCACCCCCTGTCACCACTGGGTCCTGCCACGTTCTTAAACCTTGGCTGCACTGGAAGGAGTCCCTCTCCTTCAACACTGACTGATGCAATAAGTAGTCACTCACTCAGGTATTCATTTTAGTCAACAGATACTTACTGTGAGTTACAGAAGGCTCTCGGCATATAGATGCTTGCAGTCTAGTGGGCAAGGTAGACTTTGAACGAGTAATTGCAAGTGAATGTGAAGACAGAAGGTTACACTGAGTGACGGGTGCAGGCGTCCTGTGATCACTGGGCCTTGAGGTGTGTCAGCCTGATTCTCTCCCTCCCTGCTCTGTGTCTCCATGTCTCCCACTCTTAAGCCTCCTGTGTGGCTGGGGAGTAATTTATTAAGATTGTCACTGGATTTGCATGGGTTCCTAAAAATTCAGAACATTTCACATACTTTATTCCACTTCTCCTTGTGAATTTTTTCATTAGCGTTTTCCTGGTTATCTCATTATTTTCTTTGTCTGTAGAATGTGGAGAATAAGATAACGTGTGTTAAGGGCCCAGCACCTGGGAGGACTTCAGTTTTCACTGGTTCCCATTTCTTTCCCCAAGGAGGGAGGCAACATGGCATAGAGGAAAGAACACTGGGCAGAGAATTTGGAAAACTGAAGTTGAGGTCAGGCCTCCATTAAACTAGAAAGTGAGGCTGAATAATCTCATTGATTCTTTCCACATGTCACACTGTACACGGTCATTCTACATAGATTTTCAAGCTCCCTTTGAAATGAATAGTTACTGTTTATGAGTTTATGGTAGTAACAGATTTAAAACTCTGTTCTCTTATCTCTGAGTTCAAAAATAGTCAGGACACCCTCCACAGATACCCTGAGTAATTACCCTTGATGCTAAACCACTAGAAGGAGGCTTCAGACCAAAACCAGGCAAAGACACTACCAAAAAAGAGAATTAAAGGCCAATATCACCGATGAACATAGAAGCCAAAATCCTCACCAAAACATTAGCAAATAGAATCCAACAACACATAAAAAAGATTATACATCATGACCAAGTGGGGTTCATCCCAGGGACACAAGGGTGGTTCAACATATGCAAATCAATCAGTGTAATACATCCCATCAACAAGGGATAGAAGGAGGCTTCAGGCTGGTAGGTAATGTGCTTCCTTCCCATTTCTGATGGAAAATAGGAATAAAATACAGTATAAACTTATCAGGCCAGCTACCAGGCAATACTCACGTGCTTTCTTGCGCAGTCTTGTTCTTTTCAGCACTCGTTAAGCTAGTATTTTCTCTGCTTTACCTATTTTAGGATTTTATTCAACATTTGATTTGCTCTCTGAAGCAAATGTTTAATACACTGCAAATAATAAGATAATAATAACAAATCATGCTGTATTTTGTGTGGCCCACTGCACGGTCTCCCAGGGAAGCGCAAGAAGAGGCAGTGGAGCCTACGGGTTAATATTACGCACTCTGAATCACACCTTTATCAGTTGCTAGATGTGCGTGTTCTTGCATAAGTTATGAACCTCCGTGAGCCTCAGTGTTCTCACCTGTAAGGTGGTGACCACGACTCCTCCGTCACAGGGCTGCTGTGGGGATTAGACACGTGAGTGCCCGGAAGCCTGCAAGTGCCCGCAGAGCCCGATGTAGGGCAGCCGTTGCCATGACGACCAGTTGGGAGGAAGCCCTCCCAGAACTTGCCCTTGGGTTTGTTAAAGGTTTCCCCACATCTGACACTAACTGAAGTTTCATTTTGAGTCCAGTTTTGATGTTGTTTCCTCTTTTTGTTGTTTTAAGCTGGTGCCCTCAACTTCAAATGTATGGGCTTCACTGCTTTCTTTATCATTTTCAAGTAACCTTATTTGGGTTGTTAAGATATGGTCACTGAATTTGGTAATAACCAATGATAATTTTTCTAAAACACACGAGAAAATACCCATGCAGTTTGTCATAATTCCTCAAAGTTTTAATAATACCCTGGTTTTTTAAAATTACACCTGAGAGTTATACGTTAAGTAGCCCTGAACTGCCCACGCTCTTACTGCGAGTCCAGCTGCGGCTGGCGCTTGAGCAGGAAGACGTGCGGCGCCCTCCTTGGACGGTCGCTTCCTGCTCGCCGAGCGCGCGCGCTGGGGCGAACAGACCCAGGTGGGAACCCTGGATTTGTCACCCCTGCTCACCACGGGGCCACTGACAAGTCATTTAACCTCTTTGAGCTTCATTTTTCCTCATGTGTAAAACGAAGATTATGCCTAATTCACAAGGATGTTTTGAGGATGAAATAACACAGTGTTTCTAAGAGCCCAGATGAGGGCCTGTTTTCACAAATAACACAGTTCAGATGTGAGCCCGTCCTGAGCCGGACTGTTCCTAGACTTTCTCAAAATAGCAGCACCTTGGTGCTTCTCTGTTCTGCTCCGGGTCCTGATGTGCTTCAGCAGTTGATCAGTGCTTCTCACAAGCATGAAACAAGCTTCGTAGACAGACGGGAGTTGGTTTTGTTTGGGTTGCTTTCAGTCACTATCTTATTGATGCTGAATGTGTTACTGTTACTTGGATTTTGTGGCCCTGATCAGTGTCATTTTAGTGATTCCCAAGAGTGCACTCCAGATTTGGGGTCCCACAGCTCTGTGGTTTCGATTCTCAACTTGCTTTTAGCTTTTCAACCTCAAAATTTTGCTTTGAGGTAAGCCCTCCCATCAGATGCCCACACTTAAATTTTATCTGCGTGTCCTTGTGAGTCTGTCTGTTTAACCAGCTGCCTTGCAGCCTTAGCAATGCTCTGTGCCTCTTTTACGCTTTTTAAATGGCAGAGCTTTTTGTCTGCTGGCTGGAATTTGTTCTGGTGTCATGATATTCCACTTCGATCTTAGATAACTTTACTGCAAAACAGTCTCACATCTGAAGGCAAAGTGGTGGCATATTTTATCATGGCAACATTTTTATGTTTTTGGTGAAAACCCTTGACAACCATAATTGCAGTTACATGTCCCACAGCTTCATTAATCGTCAGTCTCCAAGCATCATGTGCAGTAAATGTCTGTATCCATCATCATCCTTGTGGTTACTAGAATGATTCAGGTGTTAGCATCTGAAATAATAAATGTGATGCAGAATTTCTAGAAGTTACTGAGATTATGTTTCTCCCCTTTGAGAAACATACCTACACTGACTCTCCCTGAGATTAGGAACTCTGATTTGCCGTGTGGTGACCATCACACAGAAGTACTAACATACTAACTGCAGGTAGCAGGTATGCGGTTTTTTTTTTTTTTTCTTAGCATCCTTGGCTCCAGTAAAGCCTTATCCCTGACTCCAGGGATTGGTCCAGAGCTGGTCACATAACCTAAGCAAAAAAAAGCTTATGGTAATCAAAACAGCATGGTATTGGCACAAAGAGACATATGGATCAACAGAACAGAACAGCGAGCCCAGAAATAGACCTGCACACCTACAGTCAATTTCAAGAAGTGGTGCTGGGTAAACTGGAACAGCTACATGTAAAAATATGAAATTAGATACTCTGGTTTCTCTTCAGATCGTATAAATCTTTCGCCTTTTACTAAAGATTTCCGTGGAGAGGAACAATTCTGAGTTTTTACCCAATTTTTTGAGGCCTTGCTTTTAAGCAAGGCTATTAAAGATGTTTAAAAAAATGAAATTAGAACATTCTCTAACCCCATATACAAAACTAAACTCAAAGTTAAGTGAAGACCTAAATATAAGACTGGATACTAGAGAACTCCTAGAGGAAAACCCAGGCAGAACACTTTTTGACATGAATCGCAGTAATGTTATTTTTTATTTGTCTCCTAGAGTGAAGGAAATAAAAGCAAAAATAAACAAATGCCATTTGTTTAATTAAGCTTAAAAACTTTGCACAGCAAAGGAAACCATAAACAAAATGAAAACATAAACAAAATGAAAAGAGAACCTACAGAAAGGGAGAAGATATTTCCAAATGATGCGACCAACAAGAGATTAATTTCTAAAATATACAAACAGCTTACACAGCTCAGTATCAAAAATAAACAAACAAACAACTCAATAAAAAAAATGGGCAGAAGACCTAAACAGACATTTCTCTTAAGAAGACATACACATGGTCAGCAGGCACATGAAAATATGCTCAGCATCGCTAATTATCAGAGAAATGCAAATCAAAACCACATTGCCTCACATCAGTCAGAACGGCCATCATCAAAAAGTCTACAGACAGTAAATGCTGGATGTGCAGAAAAGGGACCCCTCCTACACTGCTGGTGGGAATGTAGACTGATGCAGCCACTATGGAGAACAGTATGGAGGTTCCATTAAAAAACAAAAGCAGAGTCACCATATGATCCAGCAATCCCAGTCCTGGGCATATATCTGGAGGAGGAAACTCAAAAAGATACATGCATCCCAGTGTTCATAGCAGCCCTATTTACAGTAGCCAAGATGTGGAAGCAAACTAAGTGTCCATCAACAGATGAATGGATAGAGAAGATGTGGTACACACACACACACACACACACACACACACACACACACACACACTGGAATACTATTCAGCCATAAAAAATGAAATAATGCCATTTGCAGCAACATGGGTGGACCTAGAGATTATCATACTAAGTGAAGTAATTCAAACAGAGAAAGAGAAATTCATATGACATCACTTATTTGTGGAATCTAAAAAGACGATACAAATGAACTTATTTACAAAACTGAAATAGACTCACAGACATAGAAAACAAACTTATGGTTATCAGTGGGGAAAGGGGGTAGGGGAGGGATAAACTGGGAGTTTGGGATTAACAGATACATACCACTATATAAAAAACAGACAACAAGGTCCTGCTGCATAGCACAGGGAACTATATTCAATATCCTGTAATAACTTGTAATGGAAAAGAATCTTAAAAAGTACACACACACACATAAGTCTGAAACACTTTGTTGTACACCTGAAATTAACATTGCAAATCAAATATACTCCAATTTTAAAAGAAACGATTTTTTTTAAAGGAGGGGTGGGTGGGATTTGTTGGCTTCTAACCTGAAATTTGCACAGCGCAGGCCCAGCTTTGCAGTTGGATCCACGAAGCCAGTGATACCAGAACTCAGTCTGTTCTTTCTTCTGTCTAAAATCTTTGCCACGTTCGGCTTCCTCAACATGCCCCCATCTGCCACTTTCAGACTCTTCCAGCGACGACAGGGCGGCAGCATCCCGTCCTCACCTCCTCTCAGAGCTGAGGCAGTTCCGTCAGCCTGGGCAAGGCCTGAAGCTCACTCTGATTGGATTGAATGAGGTCATGTGACCGTCCCTGACCCAGTCACTGTGGCCAGGATGCAGCCAGTGGAAAGCGTAGTAGCCTTTCCTGTTGGTCCTGGAGCAGGTCCTGATGCTCACTGCCATTGACAGAGGATTCCAACACAAAACATAGTTTTGAATAAGTGGTCCTTACTCAGTGACATGGTGTCGGAGTTTTTATCTCAGTGTATGTTTCTGGGCCTATTTCTAATGTTCCTGATTTTTCCCCAAAATCCAAATGGTGGAAAAATCCACTCATCCTTGCCTTTCCTTCCCAGGCTTATCAGAGAGGAACCCCCCCAAAAAGCCGAATTCTCCCAGCTGGTGGCAAGGTGTTGACCTCAGAAGAGGAATACAATTTGCTATCTGATCGGCATTTTCCGGACCCTGTTGGTGAGTTGCTGAGCATTCTTTCCCAAGACAAAATTCCTAGACAGGCTTTGTTTAGCTAAACCAGTGCTTCTCAGTGGAGGAGGAGGGTTTTACTCTCCGGGGACAGTTGGCTGTGTCTGGAGACACTTTTGGTTGTCACAACTTGGGAGGATGGTGCTACAGGCATTTAGTGGGTGGAGGCCAGTGATAATTTGCTAGACATCCTTCAATGCACAGGATAGCCCCCCACGAGGGAGAATTATCTGGCATTAAATATCAACAGTTGCCAGAGTTGAGAACCCCTGGGCTAGACATGCGTACTCCAAAGCAAATGGAAGCTGTAATGTCTCTAATGCAGATAAACACCGTCCCGTTCCTATTACTTTAAATCACGTTTGCTGATACACAAGTCAGTCCGTGTATGACCAGCGCATGGAAAACGTACCACTGGGCAGGTGTCTTGAGGCTTTGGAATATACTGCAAACTCTAAGGGCATCACACAGGACAGCAGAACAAACCCACGGGGCCAGTCTGTGAGCTGTGCAGGCCCAGACCTGTCAGAGGATATTACTCTTCTCATTTTAGGATGATATGAATAAAATACCTTATATCAACAAAATGCTTTTAACAAGCATTGCAGCGACTCACAGTTACTGTGGAGAAAGCATTAATTAGCGTATCTGTAAATAATAGCCGAACGCTGCCGTGGAGAGAGCTTTGAACTGAAAATCTGAAGACTGGACTTTGGCTCTGTCTGCGACACCTGTTCCCTAGCTAGCTGGGCCTCTCTGATTTCTGCTTCTACCAACTGTAAGGCCTTGGTGTTGAAAACCCAGAAGGGTCTTACCAGCTGTAGCATGCTTTGATGCTCATTCATCTCACTTTTTCCATTTAGAGAGAGTGATGGATAACAAATAGACCAAATAGAGTGTTTCACAGAGATTCATGCCCTGTGGGTAACGTAGTAACTCCATCTGGCTTTGTGTAAATCATACCGCACAGTAACTACGTAGTTTCTTGAAGAGAGCCCTGGCTCTGATTAACAGGTGTAGTCATTTCACTGTAACTCACAGAGCAAACTATAATCACTTTGCCAATTGTTCTTTACGTGCCGATACTAGCATAGTGTTTTTAATAACACTGTCGTAGAATTAGTATGTGGACCATACACCTAGATTAACAGACTGTTACTAAGTAATTCGAGTTAAAACAACACTTTATTGCACTACGCATATTATTATATTTTCTTTCAACGTCTTGACTCTGGAGCTGCTGCTGAGGGTAGGGGGGGCCAACGTGATGTATTTTTGAATCATTCCAAAAGAACTTTCCAATGAAATCAGTCAGAACAGACAATACGTTTATTGATCTATTGATGAAGTCATATCAGAAGGAATGAAAAGAGTAAAAAAGAAAAAAAAAGAAACATAAGGCCTGTGTGACTAGTGCCAGTTGGCCCAGGGCTGCAGACAGGGGCATTTCAATGACTTTTTAAATTGCATGATGTGATCTTCTGAGGTTTAAAAATAGGGTATTCTACAGTAGATCGTTTGTGATATCCTTGTAACTCAGCTCAGAAAAAAATGCAGACTAGCAACATCTGGAAAATTGCTGTAAAAACTTTAAATGAGTGATGGCTAGAGACTGACAGGAATTAATTATATGAGTCTTGCTGAAGCTTTTAAATGGAAAGGGTGAATGTTGCTTTCAATTGTTTGTACAAAACTGTGACATCCTGGAATAGGGCAAGAAGAGTTGTTTCACAGAACCATGTGAGCAGGAAGACTTGCTGTGTGATTCTAATTTTATTGGGAAGAATACAGGCACAATAAAGGAGAATGTCATTCTAAGTGAAGTAAGCCAGAAAGAGAAAGAAAAATACCACATGATATCACTCGTATGTGAAACCTGAAAAAAAAAAAAAAAGAAAAACTTATTTACAAAACAGAAACAGACTCACAGACATAGAAAACAAATTTGTGGTTACCAGGAAGGGAAGAGGGTGGAAAGGGATAAATTGAGAGTTTGAGATTTGCAGATACTAACTAATGTATCTAAAATAGATATAAACACATTTATACTGTATAGCACAGAGAACGGTATTCACTATCTTGTAAACTACGGTGAAGATGAGAACAGATGTATGTCTGTTCCTGTGTGACTCAAGCACTGTGCTGCACACCAGAAATTGACACAACATCGTAAGCTGACTATACTTCAATAAAAATATATTTTTAAAAAAGATGGGATGAATTAACCTCACTTGAGAAAAAGCACTGGAGGTTTATCAATAAATGTCTTCTTTGCACAGTAATGGGCTGAGATGGTGTACCAAAAATGGTCGCACGTTCTTCTAAAATGATTCACTTATTTGGCATTTTCTTATTTAGAATCACTTTGTTGCACACACAGAAGAACTCAAATTAAATACATATGTTTTTATTATCTTGCTAAAAATATTTGGATATTAGCAGGACAGATGCACTTGTGCGGCGTTTCCATAAATGCCAAGGACTCCTTTTAGCTTTCTCCCCTTTACCTCTGGGTGGTGGCTCAGATTTACATAGTCCAAGGTGGCTGCTGGAGATCCAGCCATGGCTTTCTCACCCCAGGCAGGAGGAATGAGGAAAGGTGGGGAGGCAGGCGCATTCTCTCTCCTTAAGGATATCCAGGAAGTCTCCCTGCGCCTTCAGTTTGCATCTTGTTGGCCAAAATTTAGTGGCTATGGCACACCAGACTGCGAGGGAAGCTGGCAATGCAGTCTTTATTCTATGCAGGCACTTGCTAAACTGAAAACCAAGGGACTTTTATTACTGGGAAAGGGGAGGGGATAGAAATGTGTTACAACTGCTGGTCTCTCCTGCAGCTTTCAGTCATTTATTCACCTGCTGTCATTCATATGTTGATTCATTCTCACGTTGCCGTGTGCCAGGTATTTTGTCAGGGCCTGTGGAGCCAAAGTTCGTGCTCCCAGTGCTTTCAGCTCTGTTACCTCCAGAAACAGAGCTCCCATGTGTGCTTCAGGAAATCCAGGCCAATCTTGGTCTATTCATTTGCCAGTAGCAAGACTCAGTTCCGGCGCCTCCCTTAGGGTTACGGTCCATTTCCCGGTATGCCCGGTGCCTTCAGGTGCCTCCTGCTGAGGCCCTCTTCCCCGGCTTTCCTTGAGATGGGTGCCCATTGTGTCACAGGTAGGGAACACAGAGCTAATTTCTTCTTCTGCTTGTTCTCCATGACTCTAAGCATAAGCTGGGGCTCATTTAACCAAGTGCAGTGTCATACAATTGGAAATGCACGTTTAGGCTGGGGATCTGAGTAATAGTATGGTTTAACGTGAATTTCTTGGAATTGAATTTGAGGGAATTGCTGGAAGTCCCATTATTTAAGGCGTTTAAAATTTCGTAGGACAACATAGCCATTTATTCATTCAACAAACTGTGGGTGAACATCTGCTAGGTTCCACGGCCCTGCTACGGGCTCACTATACACAAAGACAGGGAAGATGGAGCCTCCGTCCTCCAGGCGCTCCGGGGCAGTGCGTCTGCTTTCTGGGGAGAAGCAGTTGCTGTGGGTGCTTATCTCCCTCTGCGTCCCTCGCTCTGAGTGTGGGTGCCAGACACAAAAGCAGATCATTACAATATTTTGGGTGAACAGGGTAGGGAACAGCCAACTCTGTCTCTGGTGGCAGAGGGTGGTGCCAACAAAGGCTCCCCAGAAGAGGTGGCTTTTGAGCTGACTTTTGAAGGATGAATGAGAATTTTCTAAGCATGATGGAAGGGAAGGAGGAAAAGGAAACAATGAACTGCAGAAACAATATACAAAGTCATGGGATGGATGGCGACACCTCGGGAGAGCAGAGATGAGGGTGGAGTGAAGACCGGACAGGGCAAGCCGCAGCACTTAAAGAGGGAGCTGGAGGAAGGGGTCAAGGAACTGATAAAGGAGACAAAGAGGAAACTTAAAAAAAAAACCACGAAGGACACAAGGAGAGAGGTGCCCCTGGAAGTCAAGGAGAGAGAATGTTTCTGATACCACTCATATGTGGAATCTAAAAAAGAAAAAGAAAAAAGAGGACACTAATGAACTCATCTACAAAAACAGAAACAGACTCGCACACATAGTAAACAATCTTACGGTTACTGGGGGCAGTGGGGTAGGAAGACATAAATTTGGCAGTTTGAGATTTCCAGATGTTAACCATAATACATAAAAATAGATAAACACATTTCTTCTGTGCAGCACAGGAAACTATATTCAATATCTTGTAGTGTAAGATATCTTTCTTTTTAATGAAAAAGAATATGAAAACGAATATATGTGTGTGTACGCGTGACTGGGGCATTATGCTGTGCACCAGAAATTGACACGTTGTAACTGACTATAGGTTAAATAAATAAATAAACAAGGGATAATGGGCAGGAACAGATGTTTCAGATTAGGCTGAGAGGGAGGTCATAAAGAAGAAGCCACTGGCTGGCAGGCAGGATGACATTGGTGGCCTAGGCAGTTTGGTTTGGGGGCAGGTGGAGCCGGAACAAGACTAGAGTGAGAACGGGGGTTGATGGAATCAAGGCAGCAAGTGCCTGCTTGGCAGTGACCACGGAGGGAGAGGGCGCAGGGCAGAGAGCAAGCAGGCCTGGTGGGACGGGAGACTGGGGCCTGGGCACGGCCGGGTGGGCGCCTGGCAGGCAGACACATCAGCCGCCAAGGGCCAGAGGGGAAGAGGGAGTTCTGTTTGCAGGCCATTCCGCGTGAGGACGCTAGACTGTGTCCGATGACCTTGGCTGTCCCCGTGGTTAGGAGGTGAGGCCACCAGCTGGACTGAGATGGGTGAGGCTGGTGCAGGGGTGTGAGAGGAGCCTGAACTCTCCTTTTTCCCCCCCGTGAAGACATCTCACCCCACCTCTCCATCCCACTGCCTGCCCCAGAGCCTGAAATAAACCTTCACAGCCTGAAATAAGCATTTGAAGTATACACGTTTTAAAACGCCTTTGTGTTTCCCATGTTTCTTTAGCGTCCAGTGAGAAGGAGAGCGCACAGCCCTTCGTGGTCCTGCCCAAGGAGTTCCCGGTGTACCTGTGGCTGCCCTTCCTCAGACACGGCTACTTCTGCTTCCAGGAGGCCGCAGACCAGAAGAAGTTCAGTGCTCTCCTGAGCGACTGCATCAGACATCTGAATCACGGTACGGCTCGGCTGCCCGCTGGCCCCCCGCGAGGCTGCCTTTTCTCCGCTGGTCTGGTCAGTCATCTGTCAGAATGATTCCTAGAAGGACCCACAGATGGTGCTGCCCCCAGGAAGGAGAGGGGAACGAAGCAAAGAGAGAGTTTTGCAACTTGCTGGTTGTTTAGTCCGGGCAGGAGAGCCTCAGAGAAACAGGACGTGGAGCAGGTGTCTGGTGGCATGTGTAGGCAGAGCACTATATTCTTGCATATAATTCCTCCTCCTTTCTCTTGAATTTTTTTTGACAGCAAGAATGTACCAGTTGTCCCTGGTAGAATTCTAGTCCTTATGACCTTTCTTGTTTATTCTTGCCTTTATTTCTGAATAATAGTTCCTCAAAACTTTAGGGTATGTAAGAATCACCTGGAAAACTGACTAAACGGATTTTTTTGGCTCCACCTTCAGATGTACTGATTCACTGGGTCCACGGTGGGCCTTGACTTTTGCTTTTCTAACAAACTGCCAAAGGATGCTGTCGCTGTTGGTCCATGGACCACACTTGGCATGGCATCACTTCAGACCATGTTGCCTCTACATATGGATTTAATTAATATTGGGTCTATAATGAAAAAAGACTTTCATTCCACTGTGTGATGTTTTTGATACATTGGTATGGATGCTGGTTTTTCTGGACTCCACAAAGACTTCAGTCACAGACAGTTGAGCTCTTTGTGCTTCAGCAGTTGGAAAGGTAACCAGTCAAATGTTATTAAGGGCTTGCTCTGTGCCAGCCTCTGACGGTGTGAGGAAGAGAGTGATGAACTATGCAGCGTTCCTCTCTCTGGGGTCTACATTCAGATGGGGAGGAGGGGCACACAGGCCCAAGTTCACAAGCTGACTTGATAGTTACCAAAGTTACTGGGTGCCACAGAGGTGACTACACAGGGGGAGGAGGGGGCAGGCTTGTCCCCTCTGGGCAGGAGGCCTCTCTGGGCAGGTGACATTTGAGTTGAGTCATCTCATCTGTCTGTGCCTTTGTTTCCTAATCCGGCTAACTTCCTGTACACTTCCTTTAAAGTTCTGTGGTTTCCCCGAGTGTCAGCCCCACAGAGCAAAAGGCACTAGTGATGCATCTCAGCCTGTTCTTGACTTTAGCTTGTGTAGTGACAGGAGGCCAATGGAAAAAAGATAACGTCACTCTGTGTTGCTATAGCAACCCCAAGGAACGTTTGTCATAATATTGGCTCACAGCGAGTTAGGGACTTGGTAAGAATGATATCCTCGTTAATACAGTGCCTTGTGGTTCTGATGTTTTAGAGGCAAAGCCCAGCACTGCTTGCACCATCGAACTCATTTTTCAGTACACTCAGGCCTCTGTGTGCAGGGCCGTGGTCTAGTACGAACATGCAGTTGGCACTAAACACGAGAACCATGAAGTTTTGCTAAGCAGAGAATGTTCCCTACCCAGCCAGATCGGGCTGGCTTCGTTCCCCTTCTATGCACATAATAGGAATTTCTCTGGGGAGTTTTTGGAAGTTATGTAGCCTCCTTTCAGAGTCCATTTATGGAAGACTTTAGTTGATTCAAAACCTCACTCTGCTCTCCAGTATGTTATCACAGGCACTGAGATCATGGGGTCTGGTCACGCGGCCCCAGTTCTGGGTCGCATTCCTCTGTCCGGCACCCTCACTGAGGCTGTATGCAGACTTAACGCGACTTGGTATAACTTCCAGTGGCTCCAGTCAGAGCCAGAGACCATCAGAACATTGTCAGGAACAGTCCTCAAGTGTCGTGGGCCGATGGGCTCCCGGGTCATTCCTTTCTGGGTCTCCCTGTGTTTTTGGCACCACAGGGCACCACGCATCTTTACTAGATGAGGTTTTTTTGTTTCAGTGTTCACCTGCTATTCACTGTAGGATCTTGGGTAAACCAGTAAGTGGTTTCACAGACTTCCAGTTAACCATTATTTTTTCCATAATTACCAGGAGAGTTTAGAAATGCGTGTAAAATGAGTGCTTGATAAGGGCCAGAAACTCCGAGGGGGCTGCAGGGAGGCTGCTGACTCTGCCCCCAGGCGACCAGAGTGTGCGCCACAGCCCGGGGCTGCTGCCCCGTTGGCTCCCAAGCCAGCGGGCTCCTCTGCTGAGAACTCGGCCTGAGACATTCTAGGGTCTGATGCTTGCCCACTGTTGATCCTTCCACTCACAGGTCCTCAGGGATCTTCTGCCCAGTTTTATTCAGATACAGTTGACATATAACATTGTATTAGTTCAAGGTATACAGTGTCATGATTTAATATATGATTATTGCAAAATGTTCAGCACAATAAGTTTAGTTCACATCTGTCACGTCATAGAGCTAACAAATTCTTTTTCTTGTGATGAAGTCTTTTAAGATCCACCCTCTTAGCAGCTTCTCCTGTGCAATACAATATTGTTAACTGCAGTCACCATGTTGCACATTACATCCCGTAACTTAATTTACTTTGTAACCGAAAGTTTGTACCTTTTGACCCCTTTTGCCCAAGCTCCCCCACCTCCTCTGGCAACGACCAGTCTGTTCTCTGTTTCGATGAGTTTGGCTTTTTAAGATTCCACATGTAAGTGAGATTATGGAGTATCTGTCTTTCTCTGTCTGACTTATTTCACTTAGCATAATGCCCTCAAGGGAGCTTTGAGGAAAGATCATCTCTTTGCCTCCGTGGGAAGTTCTGCCAAGGATTTCTGTCACCTGGGGATCCCAGGATACCCCTCTTAGTGCTCAGATCCCCCCACAGCCCAGCCCACTTGTCCCAGGAGTTCCGGGTTCAGATTGGTCCAGGTATCCATGTCCATTCATTGTGAATCTGGAACCGCCTTCTCCAGTTCATCCTTATGGAGTGGGTTTGTTTCCTGTTTAACCCCCGACAAAGGGCCTGATGACACCTTGCTCTTGGGCAACGAGGCTGTGTCCTGAGGTAAGCAGGGCAAGTGGAGGGCTCTCTGCTCTCCTTCCTTCAAGGGAGGGAGCTGCCTCTGGGTGCCGCAAAGACGTGCACTCCTAAGGCGCATAGAGGGGTGTGTGTGAGTGTGTGAGTGTGTATGTGTGTGTGTTGTTTTGACAGCTCTGCATCGAGCAGACATATGAAACGCCACAAGACTGATCTTCAGCAGAACATCCCCTTCCAACACACCGGACTAAACATCCAGCCCACTGTGCGTGGGGAGTGGAGGGGGAGGGGCGGAGGGGCAAGGAGGGGAAATTTCCTCTTTTCCCCTCTCAGCTCTTTTGGCTGGCAATTAAAACAACACAAGGCAGATTAACAGGAGAAAATCAAACTGATTACACGTGGATGGGGAATTCACATAAGTATGAAGAATTTCAAAGGCAGCAAGGCAAAGTGAGGTTTGTATATATTCTGGGCTAAGGAGGAGGCTGTGGGGGGTCTAAGACTTAAAGGGAAGCGGGGTTATTCACAAGAAGATAGAAAGAGTTAACGTGTGTGTGAACAAATGTTTGGTGGGCCATCCGAAGACAAGGGGACACAGAGAAGACTTGGCTAGTTCCGCGCTGCCCAGCGCACCTGACACGACCGCAGCTATGCGTGGTGATGGCGTCTTCCTGGGACGGGCCCCCGTCTCCCATTTTTCTGGCAGTAAAGGGAGGTTCAGAGGCTCTTCCTGAGTCCTTTGGGCTTTGATCGTTTTCAGCTAAAAATAACGTGCGTGCCAGAGTGGCCACCTTGTGCCAGGGGTGCCCTCAGCCCCGTCGTGTGGCATGCTCCCAGAGCAGCTGCTGTCCTCTGTCCTTTTGGAGTCTTACCGCAGCCCCTTTGTCCCTGAGGGGGGAAGTCCAGGGTTCTAAATGTCCACTGCTACAAAAATGGGACTTCTATAAAGCCAAGAAAAAAAGTAAGTCAGCAAGATATTCTAAGACAGTTACTGTCCAAAATTTCAGTCCTATTCAGAATTGTAGTTTGCAAAAGATGGTCCTTGTAGTAACAGGGATGTAGTGAAAGCTGCTGCTATCTGTGGGCCTGCAGTGTGGAGTCGTGGTCACTGTCAGTGTGAGCCTGACCTTCCAGCTCAGGATAGTCATTCCCTGGCATTAGAATTTGCAGGAAGGAGGAAAAGTGTTCCTGTCGGGAGGTGTAGGGTTTGTCAGAGCCAGGAAGAGAGTCCATGCACAGACTGTTAGAGGGGCTGAAAGAATTTCGCATGGCTGGTGCTTAGGGAGGAGAGAGGAGCAAGTGAGAATGGGGACATGGGCAAGATCCAGACTCTAAGGAGCTTTGTGGCGGATGTTAAGGGATTTTCACTTTATTCTTCCCTCAGTAGGAAGCCATTAAAAGCCTTTGAGCAGACAAGCAGCTCAGTCACATCCTCGCCTTAGGAAGGGCGCACTGTGGGCAGTGGATGGGAGGGTGACACGCTGGGATGCCAGGAGACCACTCAGGAAGCTTTGACAGGCAACAGGTGGTGGTGGCTTGCATCAAAGAGGTGACAGTGGAGATCGCAAGAAATGGCTGGATGAGAGAGATATCCAAGAGGTAGAATCAGCAGAACTCAAGGACAGACACAGCGGGGAGTGAAGCAGTGGGGGAACCCAAGGAAGAGCCCCAGGCTTCTGCCATTCTCTGAGGTGGGGGCCCGATGTGAGGAGCAGCAGACTCCGGGGGAAGGCGGTGACGTGTTCAGGGCTGCAGAAGTTGGGCTGGAAGGAGTCCATGGACATCCAGGTGAGGGAGTCTCGTGGGCAGGTGCCTAGACGAGGCTGGAGAGCAGGCGCCAGGCTGGAGCGCAGACACAGGTGGGACTCAGCCGCCTGCGGGTGGTAATCGAAGCTGCGACTAACTTCATAGGAACTGGCTGCTGGCCTGGCACCTGGTACAGGCTCTGTAAATACATCCATCCTCCATCCTTGGGTATAGTTGCAAATATGCCCATGTGGGCAAACGCATGGGACGTGTGTTGATGTAGATTCAAGATGTTTGTACCCAAATCTGTAAGCATTAACATAAAACAGATCGGTACGTCTGTGTTG